GCGACGGCGTCCAAGACGACGCTCCCAGGAGGCATCGAAGCTGATTTCTTCTTCTTTTTCTTCTTGTTGCTATTGGCAGGGCACTTCGGGCGGTGACGGCCCTCCTGGCCCTCCCGGGGAGAGAGTAAGTATGGTGCAGTCACGTCGCATGGAGTCCGTACGAATATTCCACAGCCTTTACTCTAGGAAAGGAATGGGGGTCTGCACCCCCAGGGCCATCCGCAGGGCCCCCCACAGGGCCACCCCCAGGGCCATCCACAGGGCCCCCCCCAGGGCCATCCCCAGGGCCATCCCCAGGGCCCCCCCAGGGCCCCCCCCGGGGCCCAGCAGGGTGGGAGGGTCCTGTTCCTCCGCTCACTCCCCGCAGAGAGTCATCTTCGTTTGAACACAGGCTGTGTGCTACTGGTACTGTCGCAGAGATGAGAGAAATGACGGGGCAGCTGGCCTAGGATGTCACGCTTACACTCGAGCCAAGACAATATTTCCCTTAAATAGGCCTGTGCCACCCGGGCCCCTCTGCTGTGCTGTGGGCCACGCTGCTGCTCACGGGGCCCGTGGAGCCGGCCGACAGCACGCTGCTGGGAAAACGCCAGCTGCCAGTGGCCGTTAAATCACAATCAATGTGCATTTGAGTCAAGATAAAACATCTATTCCAGGAACTAGGAAAACTATTTAGTAGATTGAGTCCCAATTGATGTGACATCAAGCTAAACACACCCGAGTAAGCGTGCCCTTTACTTCATTTTTGGGGGCAAAATGTAGCATTTTTGTAGTCAGATTTTTAAACACTATCCTCTTGAAAGAATTTTAAATATTAAAGTGTATCCCTGTCAGAGACATTAGTCTCATTTCTTACTATTCTATAATTATTTTGAGTATTATGCAATCATAGAAATATGTTTCTGATATTTTTTGAAATTTATAGATGTTTCACAAAACAAAAAACAGAATTATCCTATAATGTATAACTTAAAGCCTGGGAAGGCTAAATTGATAAACTGAAAAGAGTAAATTCTACCAAAGACCAACTTTAGTAAGTTTTATTTTTTATTTAAACATACATACATCCTAGCCTAACTGTATTACTTAAGACATTTAAATTATCTTCTTTATAATATGTTTGGGGCATATAAAGGATTATCTTTTACCAATCTATTGCTGCCACCAACAGTCACTGTAATAAGGTCTACTGACTTTGTGCATTTTGAAGATATGTAAATATGAGTGTTGAATAATTATAGTTAAACATCAAGAATGACATTATAAATGTGTATCTGGATTGAATGTTAGCGAGAATTGTACGATGTTCTTTTCATCTCTCTACAAAAGAAGTTTATACGTGAGTAAAATGAGATATTGACATCCTCAAAAGTAACATATTTTAAGTACAGAGGTTAGTTAAAGGCATCTTCTGTGATCATTTTGAGGAAATCACTTATTTTTCCTTTTATTTCTATATGACTAAAATCAGAATATAAAGTCAATCCTTAAAAATAAGCTCTCTTTGGGGGGATTTGAATTGAGAAGTCTTCCATCTCGGATGTTTCTAGCCAATGTTAAAAGCGGAGAACCTGTGGGACCTCTTGGTGCATCTGAGTTTTACACTTTTAGCATGAATTCTAAATATTTACAGTATTAAGCTGAGACCACGGCCGTGCTGTGTGGTTTTGGTACTGAGTGGTGTGATAAATCATCGATTTTGCTCTGCGCCAGGCACAGATGCTCTTGTGCTGCGCGGTGCTCTCGGGACAGGGAGGAAGCTGTGTCCGTGGAAACGAGCCCCACGGCGTCCAGGTGTTGTAGGGCACATCCGTCAACTTCCCCGTTTTCTATTCTCAGGGCCCTCAAGGACCGCAGGGGCCAGTCGGATTCCCCGGACCAAAAGGCCCTCCTGTAAGTGTGAGAATTTTTCTCAATTTTTCTTCATTTGAGAACGTTTTGAAATTTTTGAGAGTCATAGCTTATATTTAAGTCATTTTTAGATACAAATATTGACAACAATTCCTATAAAACAAAATCACAATGAGTAAGGTCAGAGACTATAGATATTTTCAATTTATGATGTTTACCAAGTATTTCTGTAAATAATGTACTTATGTCTTACAAATACTCTTTCCAAGTATGTCAAACCATAGAACAACATGAATATTACTTTCTCAATGACTCCCCTACTGCAACAAATATGATGGGTAGCATAAAAAACTGTTACATCCTATGTGTCCTTCAAAATACCACTCCCTAAACACTCACCAACATTCTGATATAATTTACATCACAGTAAGATTTATCTTTTTGTCTTTTTTATTTTGTCTCTATAATGCATTCTTTTTAGAAAATGTAATGATAACCCTTCCTGAATCATGTCCCTTTTATAAAATTTGTTTAGAGTTTTATCATATATCTTCCCAACGTTATCTGAAATCATTTTTACACTTGACTGCTCTCAGGGGCATAGAGGACATGTCAGGGCTCAGCTGATTCCTTTCGCCTTTCATGGAAACCTATTCAGTTTATTTTTGAGAGTTAGGATCAACTTCTCCACTTAGTCGCTTTCTGCTCCTATAAACCGAAAACCACAGAATGGTGGCTTATAGACAACAGAAATTAATTCTCCCAGTTCTGGAAGCTAGAACTCCATGATCAGGGTGCCAGCAGCTCAGGTGGGGCCCACTTCTGGGTCGCAGGCTTCTGGTCTCCTCGCCTGGCGGAAGGGGTGAGGGAGCTCTCTGGAGCGTCTCTTGTCAGTCACTAATCCCATTCAAGAGGGTTCCTCCTTCACCACTGAAGCCCCTTCCAATGGTCCCACCTTACTAATAACATCCCCTTGGAGGGTTAGCGTCTTAACATAAGAATTTGGGGTGACACAAGCTTCCAGACCATAGCACCACCTACCTAAGGAACCTGTTCTCAAAGTATGGTCCCTGGACCAGAGCATCGGCACTCCCAGGACTTGTTAGAAATGCAAAGTCTTGTCCTGCCTCACTCACCTCATCAGAGCTCTAGGGGAGGGGCCCAGGGTGTTTTTAACAAACCCTCCAGGGAGTTCTGATGAATGCTAAAGTTTGCTAATCACTGTTCTAGCCTAGACTTCAGTGTGCATACAAATCGCGTTGGGTTGGCATCTTGTTAGAAAAGTAGGTTTTGATTCAATAGGTCTTGGGTGTGTTCAATACAAGTCTTGCATAAAGGAACAGTTCAGAAAATTCTAAATTAAGATGTTCAAATTTTAAATAAATGTTACATGTGATTACATTATATATTTGAACATGTTGGAAGTAATTTATAAATAAATAAATATGCTCTCCAATTTTTATTGAGTGTGAATAACCCTCTATTCCACTGCTACTTTCAACTGAGACTTCAGCTCACATCATCAGAAGATGAATTATTTATTGGGAAATACTGACTTGAATATTAAATGTTAAGGCGCTCTCTTTTTTACAGTAATTTTCAGACAATATGTTTAAAATATTAGTTTAACACTACAGTTTTACTTTATTACCACAAACAGATCAAGAGCAGATCGTGATCTGTATTATTGCATTATAAAAAGATCAATGCAAATAGCTAATATTAAATATAGCATAATATATACATATATATTTAATATAGCATATAACGCATATGAGGTTGGTCACCCACTATGTCAGGTTTGTCCAAATGGAATATTAAATTATGCGAAGTTTCACGTACAGGGAACTGAAAACAGTTACAAAACGATTGTACACATAGGATTCTTTTCAGAGTGTTCTGAAGCCACGTGAAAGACCACTGTTTAGCAACATAGAAACTAGCGACATGCGTAGCTCGACATTCACACCGTTCGTACATATGGCTAACAGCTGTCACCCTCATGCCGTGTGATTTTATTGTCAAGGCCACCTGACCCCCATCCTCGTGCTTTGGGGCGAGTTTTGCGCGTGGGCCGCGCCCGTGTAGCTGGAAGAGGCGCTGGAAGTGGAAGTGCCCGCGCTTGCGGCGCACTCCAGCCGGAGACGCCCACTGTTGGGGGCCGTTGCCTTCACCGCTGACCCAGATGACGTTTAGGCTCTGCTTCTCTGGCGAGGGAACAGGAGGGCGTGGGATAAAAGAGCCCGGCATTCCTCTGCTTTGCATTTTCACAGCGCCGAGGAAATAAATGCCTTCATCTCCTTGGCAGGGAAGGAAGAACCGGGCAGAGGGTTGGAGGCAGGCTCCTCTTCTGCACACTGATCGGCTCGTCTTCACTGTAATCACGACATGTATCCTGTGTGTGTGTGTGTATGTGCGATATACACCGACACACGTACAGACACGGGTTACGGGGGAGTGCGTGGGATGTTAATGTCGTGTCAGTGTCAGCACACGGTTGCCCCATTTAAGATAATTTTAACTTGGGGCTGTGAAGATTTCTCTAAGATACATTCTGCTTAGGAAGAAGAAAATCAAAGCTCAGCGCCAATGGGAAGTGAAAACAGCCCCCCCAACCACCACTTAGAAGGACCTTTTCTCAGGTTGCTTTGGTGAAAACGCTCACCCCCCTCAGATGAATTTGTTACCTCTGCCCTTCGCCACCGACATCAAAGCGGCGGCCAGTGCTGATCCACAGAATTATTAGTTTTAAATGAATGCCATGAAGTTACTTGGTAATTAACCTGCTTTACTTTATTGGATAGCAGTGTGGAGCGACCACAGTTCTTTGGGACTGATCACTATATAGCAGCAAACATCCTTCCATCAAGACTAATGGGATGAATTCTTCATGGAGTCTGTTTGCACCGCCCCCTTCAGGATGTCTAGGGAAGATGTTAAAAATCGAATTGCGTTCATCCCAGGGTGGTGCAGATCTCAGAGCCCTGTTTTAAAGGGTTATGATATTTTGCAATAAAAGTGTAATCTATACTTCTCACACCAGCAAAAATACTGAGATAGTTAACTTTTATTTTTATAGATTTGTTAGAAAACAGATAACTGGCTCATGCTGATGGCAAAACCCATTTGAGAGGCATTTTAGTACACTGGGAAGAGAGGCTGACTCATATTTATTACCTTGAACTGTTACCCTCTATGTTTATACTTAAAACTTTTACCACTGCCCACAATTGATAGCACATTTATTCCTGTACATAGCAAAACAGTGATAAAGCAGAGAACTTGTTTTTATTTACTGTTCTGAAATAGTGAACCTACATGAAGTCTACTGGGAATTAACTACTTATTCCTGTTTCCCCTTCAAACTGAGGGCAGAGTGACAGCTTATATTCCTCTACACCCAGGGCCTAACACGTAGATGTGTTTCATATGCTTTGGAAAGAAGGAATGGTTGAGTGACACCCCGGAATGTTTGGGGGCCTTGGCTGAAAACATTCCAGTTTTGGTTTTGGGGGGAGGAGAGCGTCAGAATCACTGGAAAACATGAGCCAATCACTGAGCAAGCCATGACCTAGTGAAATACTGTGACCATGGTCTTAAATTAGAGCTGTTAGTTCACCCGGCAACCAGGGTGTCCAAAGCGACGTGATGGGGGAGCAGACTGGTACTAGGCAAGGCCAGGAAGCCTTGAAGTGTGGTTGCCAAGCTGGAGAACACGGTTGTGAAAATGAGCTTATTTCTAAACAATCCCTTGATTCCAACTCAATATATTAAAAACATGATATTTAAAAATAGATTTATATACATAATGTATTTGTTTAAACAAAGAGGTTTCTTTAAATCATTAACATATCATGAGACGTATATCTGTCATCATTAAAATGTGGTTATTAAAATGATCGTTTCTCTTCATATACCCACGAGGGTGAGACTGTTTCTGCCTATATCTATTAAGCATGTTTTGAGATGTAAACTTGATACGTATGTTGGTTTCTGAGTAGGATGAATAATTCATAATGCAGTCTGAAGAAGCAGTCTACCTCGACTAAGGTCTAAACCATAGGAACCTCCCAGGGTTGTTTACTTTAAGTACTTAGTTAATTGCTTCATTAATTTCTTCAGTTGTGACAAAGACCCTTTACAAACGGGGACAGCGCAGTAGCTTTGCTCTCCAGCGCTTAGTAAACTGCGCTTCCAAGACCATGTGAGAAAACCTACTGGGGAAAATTGGTCCTAGTGACTTCTAAAACTGAGCAAAGTACCTTGCTTCCTTTCCTTGACGCAACCGAGAGGTACAGTGCCCTTGTTTATAACAGAGTTTGTGTTTCTGTTCATTCTTGTCAGTTGGATGCTCGGGCCACCACTAGGGGACACTGTCTTTCTCTCGTATGCAAGTCTTGGATGGACCGGAAACTGAATTAGGAACAGATCAGCAGTACTGAGAATTAACATATTGGCAAAAATAAAAACAAATGTATATGAATGTTCTTTATAAAAAGATAAAAAGATGAAAAAATGTAAATGTAAAATGTTCTACAATTTTCTCTTGATCTCAGTTCAAAGAGAATTATACTAAAGAGAGATATACAGAATCAACAGAACTTCAAAATATGCTATGTAGTGAAAATACAAGAAAATTATCTAACAATGCCTTAGAACAGGTCGTAAATATTTATAACACGTGGTGCGTATACTTGTGATTTCAGGGACCACCGGGGAAGGATGGCCTGCCGGGGCACCCGGGGCAGCGTGGAGAGACGGTAAGTGACCCGCCCTTCTGACTGAAACTGTCCACCTCCGGCCCCTCATCTTGTGACGGAAAGCTACTTCATTACCAACAGCTCTGTTACCAGGCTAAGGACAATGGAGAAATTAATGCCACTGAACCTTTCATTAAAATATATTTTTAAAACACATAAATAGATACATGTTTGTATCTAAACACCTTAAAGGCTGTACTTGAGGATATGGGATGGCCGTTGACTTGGTTGCCTTTATGGTCAATAACAGCACCTTGGGATGAGCTAATGGGAAGACCCATTGTCTTCTGGACACCTCCGCAAGGCTGTCAGCCTTGACCCTGTCACCGAAGTCTTTGTTTACGGGTGTCTTCCACCCAGCCCTGTCACCCTCCCACTCGCTAGAGGAAACACATGAAAATAAGCCACGCACGCGATACAGTCTCCTGCCCAGCACTAAAGGGTCAAATGTTTTCTGCTGTGGAAACCACGCGGCTGTAATTGGTCTGGAACTAGGTCACATGCATCCTCCTGCCTCCAGCAGAAAAGCGTCCATGGGAACATGTAACTGAATTTTATTTTAAAATTACAAACAGTAGAAGATTAAATAAATGATTTGGGCAGAGGGGATGCTGGCAGCTCTGCCATGCCGCGCGGATCCGGTGGGGTCGTGGTTTTTCCCGCGCCCTTCCTGAGCCCCGCGCCTGGCTGTTCCGGTGGGGTGCGGGGCTAAAGGAAACCATCGTGGATGCGCGTGTTGACCTGGAGCCGCGTTTTGCTTCTCGCCGCTGATTTCTTTAATCCAGCCTTCGCAAGGAAACCGCCACGCTGACTGCCTTTGAGTACGAGGGAACTCAGAGCAGGACGATGCGTTAGGAGCCGTGTCGCCGTCTAAGATAACAAACCTGGAAGCAGGACGAACTTTCTGAGTAGGGGACGCGGTCTGTCAGCAGCAGCCCAAGTCCTGCTTTGCTCACCAGGACACGGTTCTTGGTAGAAGAGCTTCCTAGTTTTTGTCCAAATGTAAACTTCAAAGGCTTGGATTTCAAAAATACAGTCCAGAAGGATTTAGTGAGACCAAAGAGGAAAATTGTTTGGGTTTTCTCCTGGGAGAGAGAGCGACGGAGGAGCGTAAAATAAACTCTGAAGGAGAATCCGCAGCCAGCCTTGCAAGTGCGCGCGCATTTAAATCCTGCAGTCGATCGTTTTTAACTAAGTCCTGGTAGGGCTTCGTGGGAATGCCTCAGTAATGTTCCCAAAATGTCTCTGAAGGGAGGGATGCCTAGAGAATTTCCATTATAAAATCCCTTTTGTCTTCAGTTTACTAAGTGCTTCTCCTTCTATATAGACTAACCGTATTACATATTTAAATTTAAACAAAAGAGGGAAAATAGCATATTAACTAATGGTTCTAGGATGGATGTTCTCATTGAGTAGTTTCTCCTAGACAGAGGCTAGAATTATTTCTGGAAAATTGTATTTTAAATTTAAATTCACTTTTAGGAGCAAGAGTTGATAACCTTATTACAGGAAACTTTCTCACCTTTTTTGTGTGTGTGTGTCTGCTGACTGGGATTCAAAAGATTACCTTGCACAAGAATCTAGAGCAGCTGTATTTTGCTACATATGTGTTCCTCTATTTTAAAAATGATTTTTTTAATATATTTTAATTTTGTCCTCGATCGGAAATCCTTGAATTGAAGGTTCAATCTGAAGGCTTAGAATTCAGAGCTTTTTAAGGCCACAAGGAACTATCAGAAATAGTTTCTATTATACTGAAACAACTCAAATTCNCGGAAATCCTTGAATTGAAGGTTCAATCTGAAGGCTTAGAATTCAGAGCTTTTTAAGGCCACAAGGAACTATCAGAAATAGTTTCTATTATACTGAAACTCAAATTTCTCCCAGAAGCACAGTCCCAAAGCCTTTACTGACCCTCACACAGACAATGAAGACAGTGAGAGTGTTAAAGGTTTTGCTTTTCTTGGATCGGTCACCCATTCACATGGAGACTGCAGCCAAGATCCAAGAGAAGGCGGAGACGCGGAAGGGCTGCAATGGAAGACTTAGGAGAGACCACCGAGAGCAAAGATGTGTCGCTGGAGACCAAGGCCACGCCCTGTGTCCCCAGTTACTGTGTGTGGGTGTGAAAGCTGGGCAGTGAGGAGGCTGATAGGAAGAACGAGGTCCAGTTGAAATGGGGGCTGGAGGGGAGCTCTGCGGGGGCCCTGCACCTCCAGATCCGTGAGTGAGCAGGTCCGAGAGCAGAGGACTCCTCACACGTGGCTCGGGGCAAAAATGACAGCACTGAAGCTGCGCTCCTTGGGCACGTCTTTGGAAAAGACGACAATCTGGGGAAAGAGAAGGCGGCAGGAAGAGAGGACGGCCAAGCGTGAGGCGGACCGACTCCGTGAGCGGCACAGGCGTGGGGACCGGGGCGCGCGGGGCTGCCGAGGGCAGACGGACTCTGGACACCGCTCGCCCCGGGCCACCGGTCGCTGGAGGGATGATGGGAACGGGACTGACGCGTAGACGGCCTGGAGGGCCGGGTGCTGCCCTGGGCGTTCTGGCCTCAGTCCGTGCAGCCCGGCGTCACGGGGAGCACAGCTCCTGCAGACACCACGCGCTTTGATTCGGCTCTTCGGAGGGCCTTCCGTCAGCGTGTTGAATCTGCTCCTCCGCCTGTTAAACACACGTTAACTCACATGGGAAGGAAGGTTGCCAGCCACGGCGCGGGCCTGCCGAACGGATAAGCCGAGCGTCTAGAGAAGCCCAGGGGCCAGAGTCATGCCCAGAGGCTGGACTCCGCGAGGACATGCAGCCGACATCGACCGGATCCCGCTTTTAATGACTCATCACATGCGAGATACATTTGTCAGTATATCCTTTGGGGTTTTAAGAAAGAACACTGATAAAAGGCAGAGGTGATTACTAATCGCGCCAAATATTTTTATATGTATAACTTCATGTCGCGTTTGTTTTACGAGATTGGTGGAAGGCAGGGAGAGGTGCTTTAACTTCACAGATGGTATTTATCTGTGTTCAGAATCAGTGGCTGTTGGAGAGAATGTCTGATCATCTTCACTGACTTCGTCCAGGAGCAGGGCTAGTTACCCCGGCCTGTGTTGCTGACCCTTAGAACAGGGCAAAGGACGTTTCCACACCAGCATCATTCCATCGTGTTATGTTATTTCTTCATCTTGNCAGCATCATTCCATCGTGTTATTTCTTCATCTTACTGAAAGTAATCATTGGACGATAGTGTGAAATAATGAAGATGGTAAATTTTGAATTTTAAAAAGAACAGGAAAATAATAACACATTAAACATTTTAACCAAAAGATGACTTTCTTTTCACGTGTGATACTCATTTACCTCAGAGAATTTTAACTTATGTGTTGTGCCTTGTAGAGCTTTAATGGATTATGCTTTCTTTCCTTAGGGATTTCAAGGCAAGACGGGCCCTCCAGGGCCAGGGGGCGTTGTTGGACCACAGGTACATTGCATTACTTTACTTCCCTAACAAGATTCATTTTTCTGTTTATTTTGTTATGATTGAAAATGATGTATTTTTACATTTCCGATAGCACTGTGATATATGCCGCTTGCTTACATCAAATGAACTTCAGCAAACTGTTACTTAGCTAAAGTGATTTTTACTGAACTGATTGAATAAAATAGAAGAAAAATAATAAAAATAAGTCAGAAAATTCACACAGTAGTGAACATGAAAGTCTGACCGTGGCAACATCTGCTCAAAACCCAAGTGCTCTGTTAAATAGGTTGGCCACCCTCTTTTCCAAGAATTTCAAGTTATAAAATGACTTCAGGTTTCTGAGGATAAATTTAATTTAGAAGTAAATTAGAAGTATAATATAAAGCTTTGAGCACAATTTTCTTCTAAAAATTTAATAGTAATATATTGTATTTTTCTTAATATTTTTGTCTTTATGAAAATGATTTCCATCAGTGATAAAAGCAGCAGGTGTTTTGTTGCGTTTGCACCTTCATTGGATTATTTTTATTGGCCCTTTCAAGAAAGAAGATCCAGGGGCCTATTTCAGATGTAATCACAGTTTCCTGTTAAAACAGAGGGAGTGATTTGCAAGGAGCGATACTGATGGGAGTACTTGACATTCACTTTTTTTTGGTCCCGTTGTGTGAATCGCTGCTCACTTTTGTCTCAGTGGTGATAGCCATTACCTTAGGATCCAATTTACGTTCCTTACTATTAAATTCTGATCAAATATTGAAGGAAAATTTACTTTGGGGGAAATGACTGCACGTGGATGGTAAGTTGGGGACTTTCAGCAATAGATAAAGGAATTTAAACCTAAAAAGGTCCACTCCAATTTGGGCCAGATGGCTCTTCATCCAAGACCAAAGGGTAAGAGAATCGGCTGCATCTGCAGATTTCCTTTGGCCACTTCAGAAAGACGCTCCCGTCGAACATCTGAAGACTTCCCATTTGTGTATCTTTAGCTTAATTCCTCCTTCTTGCTGTGTCGAAGTGGAGACAGAGAGCACTGGTCTCCATTCTCTATTTACACCTGAAAGCTCATTAAACTCTAGCACCACAGAGCAGCTCTGCCCAGGGGACCCGTGAATGGCCCGGCGTTTTTCACTGTGGCATTTGCAGCAGCTCGAGGCAGCGGGTGATTTGTCAGAGCCTTCGGCCGGGAGGAGCTGCCAGCGGGATCCCCCTGCCACTCGCTCTAAGTTTTTTCAAACGAATGTGGATGAACAACAGTGAGGTCTCCTCTCAGGAAACTCCAAGGACGACCACTTGGGTTGTTTGGGTTCTAGGGAACCTGAGCTCCTTTTGAAGTCACGATTCATTGAGTAGCTACCAGTGTGGTACCGATGCCTTTTTTACTCCTGAACTCATTAGACACCTTAGAAAAAAGAGAGAAGGGGGCAAACTATAGTTTAAAACCACAGTTTTTAACAATACTTGGGCTGGCCTGCCCCTGGAGCATTTCTGGTATGGAACAAAGAAAACACTCTCTGCGTTTCGGTGTATTTCCCTCGTACACTAGATTCTAACCAAGATTCCACGACATGGTCCCACCAGTGCTTCCCGGGAAGTGCTTTGCAGGACATCGTGACCATGACGGGGAGCGCTAAACTCTCTGGGGGTCTTGTTATCTCTGCTAAGATAAAAGAGCAATCTAACGACTCTTCCTTTTCCATTGAGGGGCCCACTGGCGAGACTGGTCCCATAGGTGAACGTGGACATCCGGGCCCCCCCGGGCCTCCCGGTGAGCAGGGCCTTCCAGGCGCCGCAGGAAAGGAAGGTGCAAAGGTACAGATGGGCAGGGGCATCCTCGGTGACGACGTCCGTTTGCTGTTCACTGTGGTTTTTCCTTACGGCCTGTCCATGGCTGGACCGGCTGCCTGTTGGCCTGGTGCTTAAATGAGCGCGAGAAGGAAACGTCATTAAATACTCACTGTGGTGTACTTTGAGGCGCGACTGAACAATGACAGAAGGCAGCTCCATCGACTGTACCGCCTCCCGTTTATAGGCGCCCTGAACTCCAGGGAGCGGTCAGTGTGTTTTAATGTATGTGGCCTTTCCCGTAACGTTCTCACCGCAGACGACATTCAGACTTTGCTTACGGTAGGTTAGAGGTCACGGCATTCGGGCTTGACTCACAGGTTAGAGGTCATGACATTAGGGATTGACTCACAGGACATGAGAGGTCACGGCATTCAGGCTTGACTCACAGGACATTAGAGGTCATGGCATTCGGGCTTGACTCACAGGTTAGAGGTCATGGCATTCGGGCTTGACTCACAGGTTAGAGGTCATGGCATTCGGGCTTGACTCACAGGACATGAGAGGTCATGGCATTCGGGCTTGACTCACAGGTTAGAGGTCATGGCATTCGGGTTTGATTCATGGGAGGTTAGAGGTCACAGCAGTTGTGTTTGTGGAAACGTATAGACGTTGCTCCCGGTGACGGACTATGTTACGTTCCTCAGGGCGACCCAGGTCCTCAGGGTATCTCAGGGAAAGACGGCCCAGCAGGACTACGGGGCTTCCCAGGTGAACGAGGTCTTCCCGGAGCTCAGGTACGGTCAGCGTGTAGATACGGCGCATGAATGAAATGCTTCCTAGAAGCACGGGGGTGTTTTTAACTAAGTGAAGACGCATGAATAACTAAGGGAAGCAGGAAAGCATGTGCACTGACCGCCATGTCTGCACAGCAGTGTGTGCTTGTGTCAAACCCTTCCTAACACCCTCCCTTTACCGCGCACACATCTTCCCGTTTACGCTCAGTTCGCGTCAACTCATTTTCTTTGTTGTTTTTCCCACGTACCCCAGGGCACCCCTGGACTGAAAGGAGGAGAAGGCCCCCAGGGCCCCCCAGGGCCAGCGGTACGTATACTGTGAGTCAGCGAGCGCTAGCCGAGGCTCAGCGCCGCCCGCTGTGACCCCCGGCGCGGGGGAAGGTAGGCACGCGCCAGCCACGCAGCCGATGCCGGGTCTCCGCTGATGTAATTGCCGGGGAGTTGAGGGCGGGAAACGGTCACCGGGCCACCGCGGTCAGGGTGGGAGGGGCTGGCTTGCCCTTAGGGGACCCCGAAAGAAGTCATAGTTGGTCTGGCTCTGCGCACTGCAGGAGCCTTGAATTTCATCCGTGCTTATTTAAGGACCGCGCCAGTGTGAAGTGTGCATGTGCATGTGCGTGTCGTCCAGATCGCTTTCCTCAGTTAGTTCATGTGTCTGCGCCGAATAGCTGGCGGGCGAGCGCC